TACATCTATTTGTGCCGTAAGGCACACCTATACGACTTACATACCACCCGACTTTCTCCGGTTCTTCAAGTATTGAAACGCTTTCCGTAGGCGAGAAAAAGAATAGTGATATGACGACAAAGTGCCCGAGTACATAGTTTGATTGTCTCGAACGGCCATAATAGTCTCGACATTTCATTGACGTATATTTCCTGGTCTGTTAAATAATTTGCATTGGACGCCTCTTCATTTGCGAATAATACGATCGAATAAACGATTTTTCCTCAGCGAAGACATTTCTTCCGAAGTATTTAGCTTGATTATTTCGAAATTATAAAGAATTCAAGACTTCCTTCTTTAAAAGAGTTAAACTTTAAAAAATTAGAAGAAGCTTATTCTTCAATTATGCAGTTTAGTAGATTTTTATTTAATAGAAATTTAATGTATGAATAACGTATGAGTCTTCCCATTTGATATAATTAAATTAAAAAATTTCAAAATAAAATTCGATTGAATTAAATAAATTAGTATGATATAATACGCTTTATCATGAAACTTTGTTAATAATTCATTATTACATAATTTAATTTAATTTCATATTTTAAATATCTTTTCTACAATAATGACGTTTCATTAATTAAACAAAGCCGTTCTGACATTGTGTTAATTAAAATATGAATTGCAGCGATATAATTAAATTGCAGCAATATATATAGATCCTGCGGTATTACATTATTTTAGCAAGATAATACCTATGCGAGATTATATGATGCTGCCTACGTGATAAGGCTATTGTGTAGTTACATCAAGACATAATGCATTAGTAAATTTTATCGATAGATATAAAGCGAATAATATGCGTATGAGAAAGCTTAAAAAAGTTCACATCACTTAATTTAATATGATAATATTAAAAAAGCCATTCATTAATTGTAAAATTTAAAATAAATTCACTTTTCAAACTAATTTCCCATATTTACTTATGCGAAAAATACAGAAAAATATTGTTTACTTAGTTTTGTTTTATATTTCGTAATTGTTTTTGTAAAATTTTTGAGAGAATTCTTAATTATCCCACCAATAGCTTGAACTTTCGATACCATTTTCCATAAATTGTTAACATAGTTATTCCACGTAAGCAATAGATTTCGCGGTTTTAGTAGTATTTAGATCCCAAAAGGTTGCATTAATAATATATCTCTGCTGAGGATCGAGCGAGTTCCGCGAGTAATTTGTAATTTATCAGATACCGATCATCGTTTAAACACCGATTGATCTTTGGCGAGGATGCGTTTGCTATCTTCTGGATCTGATGGTATATTTTATTTCTCTGAAAGGTCAGGTTTATCGTGCGCCGCGAGGCATACTAGCGCTAGTCAGATAAACGGAATGATTAATATAGCATAGCATAGAGACGTGTGTTAGATTTAGTCTTGGCCTTTGCCAAAAGTGGGTTACACCGATTTCGGTGATGCCCTGCCAACCAATTAAACGCTGTTCGTCGATGACCGAGTTGTGGAATACATCCTTTGGCTTCTTTCGACTTGTTCTAGTCTATTTTGCTGCTCGATTCAGCAGAAATAAAATGATATTATAAAATTTGTAACTGTTTGCATAAATATCACTCTCTCTCTCTCTCTCTTTTTCTCTCTCTATTTTTTCTATTATTTTGTAAAATATATGATATTACGATAGCATATTTTATAACAGTTAAAAAATTTAATTTACTAAATTTTTTTTTAATTTTTTTAATCATTTTTAACTAATAATGTAGGAAATTAAAACTGTCTTTTTTTTCTCGCTTGCGATTAAAAGGAGAGAATCTAGGACACATCTACAGATACATAGATGCGGGTAATCAATTGGCGGTTTGCCGTGAGTTTATTAAGATCCAAGACGTTGGTCAGGAACAAATTCCCGCAGATTGTCGCTTCCAAGCCGCATTGCGTCACTTCTTTTTCTCTCCTTTCTCTTTTGCAAGAAGGATGAAAATATCCGGCTAAAGACTTTATCTCCAGAACGATTTTCCGATATTTTCCGATACTTTCAGATTAAGATGTGTTCTCATTATCCTCGTGATTTGTACCAACGGCAATATACATTGATGCTGCATTATTCTTCTCTGCCATTGTTCGGCTTTGCAAAGTCCGGGAGAATCTAACTAGAATAGAGTGATATTTATATCGGCTATATTGACTTTGAGATTAAGTAATCTTGTGCGACTACTATGACATAAACATTCGTATATTTAAATTCACTCTTGTACTAGTCGCTAAATTGAATTTAGCTCGGAGCTTTTGTCCGGATACCTCAAACAAGAAATGATAAGAGATTAATATTTATTGACATAAGATAATTGAAATAGACAAATGGATATAATAATTTTGATAATTTTGTAATGATAAAATTAACAGTTGTTATTAGATTGCTAAATAATTGTTTATTTAATTCACGAAATTAGTAAAATGATTTCCAATTTTATTATTGAAATTTATAATACTGTTTCATGTTTCTGAAATTCATGTTAGGCTCTCTCTTTCTTCTGCGTCAATATAATCTTCCTTATTTTAAGGAGTTAATTTGATTAATATATTCGCAGTAAATATTAATTCGACTTTAATCCGCAATCTTTCATTTTACCATATTGAATTTTGTATTGCATTGTCTTAAAATTTATAAGTAATATTTTCTTGAAAGAATTTATGTTGTTTATTTCACATTAATTAAGTTTTAATGTTAACTTGAATTTATTGATTTAAACCATGACGAGAACGAAAGAACTTTTACATAATATATTGCTTATATTTTATCTTATATAAAAATATATTTCAAAGAGAAAAAGTAGACTTCTCATCAAATATCTCAAAAAATTTAATTATAATAAATTATAATAAATAAATCATTTTTCCATGTAAATTGTAAACTTCCCATATAAATATTTATCACATTTATAACATATTATAAAGTATTTTGAAAATGATTTTACATTTTATGTTATCGACGAAAAATAGTAACCGTTGGCGTGTATGTATTATGCGTTCGCATATCTGTTTATCTTGTTTTTTCTCATCTCGTGAGGATGTTACGACATCGCGATGGTGTACAGTCATACATTTGATAGTAGCCATCATTCTTTCGCTTTCGTACGCGTAACACATAGCTGGGAACAAAAACACGGGGGCTACAGAGGCTTTGTCGACGCTGATCTCCCATTGTTGGAGAACTGAATTGCAGAACCGGCTATACTGCTTTGCGTTATGCAGATCCTCTCGTCGAGAGAGTTCGACCACGTTACAAATTCATGCTTGTCCACCGCATTGCATCTGCGGTCAGCAGTTTCCTTCCTGTTTGAATTATCCAACGTCGACGTTGTTAGGCAGGTGGAATTTAATTGGCGAGCCGTAATCTCAAGAATGCTTAACGGATTTTCATCTGCATTTGAATAACAAATCTGATACAGCGTGTTAGAAGAAAAGATTTAAAATTTCAAGAACTCTTTTTTTTATCAATATTGAATCGATTTTAATGACAACAATCTCTCGAAGCCAAATAAAAATATAGCATTTCGAAAAATGGTCTTAAGATGAGAAAATTGCTGATTTTCATTTAAAATTGTTTGTAATGATTTTCCTTTCATATATGTTTAAAAGTTACATAAGACAAGATCAGATGTAATTGCATTTTAAGTACATTCAATAATATGTTTGTAATTTTCCTCATGCTATCTAATAAAAACAAATATATTTTTTTTTAATCTCTTATAACAACTTTGATCGGTACGAATATAATCTAGAGCGGAGAAAACTGATCTAACTATCATACGCGATCATTTTGTTTGCTAATGTGCGTTCGGTTCTTATCTCGAAACGGAAATCTAAACGACCGAGAGACGTTCCATGCACATATCGCCTCGTTAAATCACAAGCAGCGCCATGTATATTCAAATGATAGTGGATTTGAAAGGTTGGAAAAGTCCTCCCTTTGCATACTAAACGTCGCGTTATCTTGGTTGCAATAATGTCGCTAGGAGCTACGGGAGGAGCGCAGTGACCCTGATATAGTACACATAGCGGGCGTGCAGCACGCATGATATTTCCCATGGTACCATAATTATCTCGAAACAAGCTTGATGTATATCGAAAAAAATAAAAGCCCCTCCTTTTTCATATTTTTCTTTCTTAAAACACTTTCGTGACAACCAGAATTTTGTTAATGTCGGGAAATTATTAATAGATATTTTAGATAATAATAATAATACATAAAATCATTTTAATAAATGTAATGTGTCCGTATATTTGTTACTTTTCTTTTGAAATATTGCAGCATTTACGCATTAAAATTGTATGTAAAATTTTTAATATCTAAATTGTTAAGAAAAATTATTAAGAGAAAAACGATTTTTTGGAAACAGAAATAGTTAAAAATAATTTTTTTTTTATCACGAGGCCCTTTTAGACTTTCAATATATTTGCGAGGAATAATCTATTATTAAATAATTCTAATAAGAGAGAAAGAGAGAGAGAGAGTACACTATATAAATATAATTATTTATATAGTGTACTCTCTCTCTTTCTCTCTCCCAAGTCATCGAATGATACTTTAGAGATGGATGTTTTTTATGTAGCTGGTACTTTCATAGTCGAGAGTTCAATTAACTATATACTTTGTATTTTATAACTATGTAATATTCTAAAAAGAGTTTAAATAACTTTTTCGATAAAAATCTGTTAAATGCATTATAAAAGTATTCTTTACTTCAAACTTAATAAAAAATTAGATGTTTTGTGTAATTTTTTCTTTGAAACATGGCATTAAAAATTCTTAGCTTTAGGTATTTAAAAGATTGAAGAAAAACTTCACTTCGATGCTTTATTATTATTAATGAAAAATTTATTTTAAATATTTTATAAAAAGAACCCATCTCTAATGTGGGTCATTGGGTGATTGAACAATTCGCTGCATGTGTTCTGGTTCATCAGCTTTTACCCCTAAAATAACCGGTGCAACCTGTATTGTTTCAGGGGTATCTGGCAAGGACGTAAGTGGATGGCCAAAAATCCCGTGTCTGAAGGGTCGTGCGTCTAGTAAAGGGGGAAGCGGCGCGGGAGGGCCACACGTGGGTCCACCGCAGTGTCCTCACTCTGTTTTAAGCAGCACTCGTAGCTCCGTCAGTAGCTCGCCTTTGAGTCCATGCCCGACTCCCATGCCCTTCCTGGTGACTTCAGGCTCCGTTAGGTAAGTTTAATGTAGATCCTTCTTGTCTCACTTGCGTTATATTTACATATCTAATACCGAGATCCGATTTATTAACGATTTATTCGAATTAAGCTCAAAATCAAGAAAATAAACTTCAAACTGTGTATTATAATGGAAAATATAAATTATTCTGAACGTTATTATAAGTAAAAGTTATTATGAGTGCAAAGATACTTTTTTAAAGTTTGATATCATTTTTTAGAAGCAATATATATTTATCTTGATTTTACCATATTTTATTTACATTTTTCTTTTCAGCAGTTTTAAGTTTATTTTTCTTTCCTGCGTCAACTGCAGATTAAATGCTTTATGTAGCTTATCTCGAATCAATCGTTGAGCGTCAAAGAAATATTGAAAGAACCAATTAGTAATAAAAACTGTTGTAATTTCGCGAAACAATACAAAGAGCTCCTCTTTCAACGTAAAAACGACACTAGTCGTTCATGTAAAGGCCACGTTTACTAAAAATAAATTTCATACATATTTTATCGAGCACTATATCCAGCTGTGGGACAAACATAGCTTAGTACTATTAGTCGTACGTGAAGTTTATAGCCCTGGACAGGCAATGTTTTAATTTATTATTACATGTATTTCTGACTGTTATATTTGTATGATCATTATATTATCATTATATCGATTTTCTAATTTTTGTCTCTAAAAATCTTTGAGATAAAAATTTTTCCATAATAATTACATATGACTAAAAAAAGTAATTTAAATAAAATCAATTTCTGTCGCAATAAACTTTCTTTACAATTATATGTTACAGAATACATTTAAAAAAACATTTATATTTGACAGTTTATCTGATTATATATTTGATTGTATATCTCTGCTTTTAAACAGTTAAATATATATATATATATATATATATATATATATATATATATGAAAATGTTTTTTTCTTTTTTTTTATAAATATGTAATTTATTTTATTATTGCACTTTCTTTGGGATCAGAGATATAGTGAGCAGCAATATTATTGTTTGTTGCGAAAGCAATGTCACACGATAATTGATGAAGATATAATGATTAAGGCTTTTATCTTCTTTTATCCATTTTTTTATCGCGTGTCATGATAAAATAACAATTAACATTTTATAAAAAATGAAAAAAGTTTTAAATGTATTTGTATATCGAATGATGCATTTAATATTGCATATGTAATTTCAGCTAGTGATTGTGATATCATTTTTCACGATAAATTACTAAAAAACTTTTCATTTCATTAAAAATTTTTTTTCAATACTTTTCGATTCATTAAAAGTTTTCTTCTCTTTCTTTCTCTCATGTTATCAATAACTTTAACGCTACGTTCGATTCTTCACAGTCGAACAGATTAATGATGTGTTAACTTTTAATTGTGATCCTCTGCGCTCGCTACAATAATTATAATTATTTTCAACTAATGATTCTTGTTAATAAATTACGACACAGAAATCTTTCAGGGTCATCACGTGTTGTCGAAATTTTATAAAATCAATATCGCGTTCTTGTGCTTATAAATTTTGATTTAAATGCATAAAGTTAAATCTTGAAGAACGATAATCTTCGAGTTTTGTTCTTACGTAAAAAGCACTTATAATGAACCTTTTATTATGATATACAAGAAGTCCTCTTTAGTTTTCCTCGTTATTTTTTTATGCGAAAAAATATTTTATGCTAGTCCAAGGTTATAAAAATAATGCAAGGTAACATGATAAATAATTGCACTACAGCTTTTTATACAATGTGTTATGGGGTCAACTCATAAATTGAAATAAATATATTAGATAAGTGGAACAAGAGTTTCGAGTTTCTTTCTTTGCAATATATAACTCTATTATTCGCATAGCTTCAGAGATGAAGTTGTTTTGCTCAATTTAGAAGTAGCTTCAGAACTTATTGTTATTCAACATGCTTGTGTTTATGATTTCGAATACTTTTTTCATAAATTTTCCTGAAAATCTTGTTTGTTTCCATCTCAAAGCATATTTTTGACTATCTAGATATTGTCCACATATTTATAGACCAATTGCTCTCAATCTTCGCTAAAATTGTGGTTGCTACGATTCTCTAAGCTATATTTTTTTATTTATAAATTCATTCGTTTTCGCTTTATCGAGAGAAAAGGATGTTTTTCCAAGAAACAAGACCTTCATTTATTAGATATCTCCTTGAGAAAACTGTTTTTTCCCGAAAAGTTCATGCATTTCCGCACGTGAGCGGAATAGCAAGTTTGTCGGATGTAACTTCAACATCCATCGACATGCTCGGCTGAATTTGAATGAATAATTCATGATATCTCCCGAAGCGCCCAAGCCGTCGATAATCATCCACTTTGACCAACTATTTCCCGTCCCGCCGCCTCCAGCCTGATAATCGTTTCGCGAATTCCCATAGCACGAAAGCAAGTCGTGCCGGAATCTATCTCAGATAAGCAGACTCTCTCGTCTATCAAGTACTATATGGGACGCTGAGATGAATGTTTTTCTTTTTCCTTCATACGCATATATATGTATATAAATTTTTGTTTTATATGTAAATTAAATTTTTAAAATTTTTTAACATTTATTTTATTTTAACGAAAAAATAATATCCAAAAAATCAATCTTCTTAACAAAAAAAATTCTCAACAATATACATTAATAATAAAATATCTCACATATCCGTTTTATTTAATTTCAATTAAACTTTAAATTTAATTAGCGAAGATTTAAAAAATATATACATATTTTTGCAAAGAAGAACGGATTAATCAAATTGATTCAATTTATCAGAAATATATATTTTTTTTCTTAGAAAAATAAACAAAGTATTTATGATTCATTCGCTTAATCACGAGATCTTTAACAGATTGTTCCACGTATCTTGCATTTTAATCACGTTTCGAGACATTTCATGAAGAAATTGCGTCTCTTATGTCTTTGTCTCTCGCGGTCGCGTTTTAAGCTTTACAATAGTGTTGCGACTTTTAGTGGAGCGTGGGACAAGAACGAGACGTTCCTCGTGTCAGCGAAGGGCACAGATGCCTCGCGTGTAGAGGCAAATTGAATGCGTAGGCGTGTCTATAACTCGTACCTATCGAACTTATCGATCAGCTTCTTGCTCCGCTCTCAAAACCAGGAGGCTTTTCGTCTCTTGACAAATGTTCACGGCGAATGAGAAAGGGAGAAAGAGAACGGGATGACTCGCGTAAAAGTCATATATCTGTTATAAGCCGTAACATATGCGAGACTTTTCAAATGTCAGCCTGCAAATCTTTCTGCACTCTCTCAAAAAACCTCTCATCTATTCGAAGAGCTGAATCATATATTCGTATTCTCTCATATTGATAAAATCTGCAATTTTTTCTACGAAAAGAATTATTTTAACATCAAGGAGAATAAGAATTACAGTCTTTTTATGTAAATCACAGAATATTCATGATTTTTTCTATCATTTTAAAAATGCAATTGAATTTCTAGCACAATTCGGAGTGTTATTCAACGCAAATATAAAAGAGATTAATTAATGCCTTGCATGTAGTATTAATTGCTTTTGCAAAACGATTGGATAGAGTCTCGTAGAGGCAACAAAGTGTAAAATTCTTCAGACCTGTTAGAAAAAGACATTGCGTCATTATGAGATCATTAAACATACTTAATCAAAGATTAACACACTAATACTAACACCTACTAAGAACAAGTTGCAGCGAACTGAAACCGTGCTATTATCCTAACTTTGTACTTGTTCTATTTATTTATAACGTTTGACAGCACCAATTTTAATGTTTAAAGTTTTTGTTTATTCTAAAATTTCTCAAAATTTATGTACTGTGCAATTTTTCCTTTTAAAACGCAATTTAAAACAAAATGAATCAAGTATTCTCAAGACTTTTAATTTTCTTAAAAATGGAGCTTTTGAAAAACTATTTTATATTTCTTAAAAATAACAGTAATTCTTTTTGCAATAATTTTAACGACTGTAAAGACAATAGATAATATAAAAAAAATTAGTTTATCCTTAAAAGATTCTTTATTTCTATAAAATCTGTGTAATTCTGTATAAAGTTTCAAGTTTATTTGAGAGAATTTACGAATTTCCTTCGTCAATTTACTCTCAGTTTGAACTACAAACAATTGATTAATTTACATTTCCGCTAAAGAAATAAGAACAAAGCCGACGTGGACTCATATTTGAAGGGAGACACTCGGAGAGAAACTCAAAAGTTGAGACAAGACTGTGCACTCGACATCGTATGTATATATCAGCCAGCTTAATTGCCAATTAACCGATGTCCATGTTCCAGTAGCGGCATGGTGCAAAGTGTCGGGGCCAATTTATCGCCGGACCAAACATTTGGATCGATCCGGTCGCTTTCGGTGACGAGGGAAGTCGCCAGTTTCCCTCTATCGCGAACACCTACGCCGCCCCCGCAGCATCGGTAAGTGAATTTCGTTTATTTACTCGGCTCAGATAAACATCAACAATGATTGAGATACTTTGCGAAATTAATTAAACGGCTCTGCGAACGGATAAAAGTAATCTCCGATTCAAGTGTAAATTGAAATTTTTCAAATTTTATTTAGTTAGCAATCGATAAAAAGATTCTAAATAAATTTGATTGATTTTAAGAAATTCTAGAAAATAAATAAATATAAAAAATTGAGATAATGCGTAGAATAGAAACTTGTTCATCTTATTGTATTGATGATTGATTATATTGACGAGGCGAACGGCCTTTCGCGATTATCATTGCAGAACATCGCTGGCGGCGAACCCCGAGGAGCTGGTGGGCGTCGATAGCCCTCTAAGGGAGGCCTCTCCCAGACCGGAGGTGCGCGTGGTCGCTCCGTCCCATCGGCCGGCACCGACGTCCGTCCTAGCGGCAAACGGCGGCCACCCTCATCATCACCACGCCGTCTCCACGGCGAGCCGCAAATCCGTCAGCATACTGCTGCCCGAGCAAACCAGCGGATGACCCCAGTTGCTGCAGCAGCAACTGCGGCAGCAACAGCAGCAGCACGGCTTCGTACACCGTTGTGACGAGGCTCCGCTCTCGATCTAAGATCCGTCGCTCGTTCACCAGAGGACACTTCCGCAAATGGCTAAGACGACGATGATGACAGGCGAACGCGCGATCGTTCGGGTAACTGGGAATTAATTAATCTCTTGCTCGCGAGTTCGTATCGCGCCTCGAATCGGGTGTAATCTCTGCGTACAGCGCACGAGTAAAGCAATCAGTCGTGAACACGGCTAGCTCGTTAGAGAACGAGTGATTGATGACCGGTTAATGTCATATAACATCAAGCAGAGTTTGACTAACTCCTCGTAGTTAGCTTGATCGTTATAGATGCGAGATCTCGAGAGAGAGTTGAACTATGGTCGGCATTAGACCGGGTGAAACAACTGGTTGTCTCTTATCGCTCAAATAACGACGTTCGTTCGTAAACCGATATAATCGAATCATTACGAATTATCGCTGCTTGTGCGGAGATGATGCCCAGCATTGATCTCGATTGAAAACCGTGCTTAGTGTCTCCATATTTTATTGCTTGATGGCAAAGTTTACCGTTAAACCATAAGATAATTGAAAAAAATTTGAGAGAATATTATAATCGTAAATTGTGCGTGTGCATGTATGTATGAGTATAAGATGGAAATTTTTCTCTATATTGTATATAGTATTCAAGAGAAACGAAAACGACGACATTGGAGAAATTTTACATTTCCAGACTATGAACCGTACGTGCTTCGATTTACGCTCGTTGTATTATTAGAGCGTTCTTATGCATTATTGATGATCTAGAGAGATTCAACGTGCAGTACTGATCAAAGGTGCTATTAAACATGCACACGTTGATCGTATGAGTCGGTAATTTTACGTTGATTATTTTACAAATTACACACAAGTCAAAAATTATAAATTAATAAGTGCATCGCGGTATAAATGCAAAATATCATATAATATGTATAGAAAATTATCAGAATCGTAGATAAAAAATAATACACGACTACAGGCTTAAGAAAATTTTTACTTTGCTTGATAAATAAAACAAATTTACGTTGAGAGAACGTATAAAAAATTGTCAAAGTTTATATTTTTTATTACTTTGACATTTTAATTAAATATTGATATTTTTTAAAATATTAATATTTTTATTAATATGTACGATAAAATTAGCTCATATGCAAAGAAATAATTTATAAGTTATTTCTTTGCATATGGGCTAATTTTTCCAATTGAAATGTATTAGACAAATTATCCAACATCAAAAAGTTAAATTATTTGGTTGTTAAATGTTGTATTCTGTGGAAATGTTTGCAAATTAATATTGTACACAAACATGATTCATCTTTCAAGAATTAATTAGAATTTGTAGCATCTTTTTTTCGCGCGTCAAAAGAGTTAACGTCTGACAAAGAAAGACACTCAGCACGGTTTCGCATTAATTAAGCCTCAGTTATTCTCGATTCGCGCCGGACGATACGCCCTTCCTACCTACACCGCCAAGAAGAGCAGCAAGCTCTCGCGATCACAGAGATATGCGATCTAATAGCTATATGTCGCAATGGCGCGCGTTTCTGGCCAAAAGTAGTCTTTAAGATATTTTCTCGCGCGATTTTAGCACGTCCCTTTAAAATGGGAAATACGATTCAACGAAGCGAAAGAAGCTGAGACGACTTTGAATTTTTTTCCTTTTGCGAATACCTATCCTCCCTGTTTAATTCTCTGACGCTGAAATAGAATCTCATGGATTGTTAAATTTGTCGCAACAATAATTTAGAGTCCCTGAATAATTAGATTTTCATTATGTTACTTTATTTTGCAGTCTAAAAATTTACATAACTACAATTTTTTCTTAGCAACGTAAAATAGGCCTCTGAAAAATATCGAGCGAGAGTGACTAGAGAATTGACTTTAGGCTGACTATTCATATTTCCCTGAGTAGTTCTATATATTTGAGACATCTTAAATATTTCGCTGACTTCAATGTTTCAAGAACTGTCCTTAGTGCTCGAGGGAGGGAATGAAGTTGAAAGGATGAACTATCTTTTCTCTTGCGGCTCCGAATCTCCGATGTCGGTCACGAGATGAATCGATATCGCGAGAGCGGCGCAGATTTCCCTTTTGATCCAGGTAGGTAGATAGGTAACTAAATAGACAAGCCATGCGAATCGTGGTTGGCAGATGTTCAAGCTCGTCTGTAAAGGCCGATGTTCAGCTCAATTTGTGCAGGATCGAAGTGATACTCTTATTTTTAGTCCGGACGGATTATCTCTGGGTCGTTCAGCTGATTCAACAAAAGACACTTAACCAGCGCTCATGCTAGTAAGATAATACGACAGATTTCGATATTAGAAAGATTTTCCGCAATCTGTAGCGTGATAATTTATTATTTTTTTTTATTATTGGCATCTTTTTTGTAACATTTATCAATTTTTTAAATTTACTTTACTTTAAAATATATAGATTTTTATGATTATGTTAGAGAAATTGTTTCATATTTTACTACTGAATATTTGATTTTGTAAAACGTCACATATATTTAATTATTTGTTATATTAAATATTAGTGATGGATTTACAGATACACATGAGAATTATTTATCATAGATTGAAATGTCACTCGTGGATTTACATATACTCGTGGATTTACATATACTAGTACGCTTCTACACGATCAAATAATTTATGTCACTTCCTAAACGACGACTGAAGAGTTAATACATTCCGTGTAAAAATTGATATCTTCGGGAAAAATTACTCAGAGTATCAAGTAATATCTAGTTGAGTCAGGACAAAACGAGAACTGACAAGGCGACTGTAATCCTTGACAATCTATTATAGAGATATTCGTGTTGCTAAACAGTGAAAAACATCGAAAGAAAAATTATGGGAAATTGGAGCGAAAAGCAAGGTCGAAATTTAATTCGGTTAAAATGAGTTTAATAAGAAATTGGTTTTTTTCGAACTGAAAATACTAAAGTAGTATAAGAAATACAAGAACGCGGAAATCTCCGACATTTTGCGATGATCTTTGTACATATCAAAGTGAACGTTAAACAATAATTTTCAACTCTAAATTTCGCGATAAAATCATTAATTTGTTTATATAAGTTTTTTTATTTTTAAATTTATATTAAAGGTATTAATTATATATAATAACATACATGTGTTATTTCGTTATGTTGCAAATTAATAAATATGAAAAATTAATAGTTTATGAAATAGAGTTAATTTTTATTATTTTTATACATGATAAAAAAGAGAAATAAAATATTTATAAAAAGTTAGTATGATATATTAGAGAGTTAAGCATATATTTATAATGTTGTATCGTATATACATATTTGTAATTTTTAAACATCTGAAAATATTCTGTTTATATGTAAAATAAATCCGAATTTAATCCGATTGTTAGATAATGTTTTAGCTAAGAGATTAAGGTCTTTAAATTTTAGTTGGACGAGAAGAGAACAATCCACTGTATGCATGTATCTACTACATACATATAACGAGATCCGTTTTTGTGTATAACAATCTCTTGTTAAATTCCATTTTCATTAACGTTCGCGACAATATGTACAGAGCTCGCTGTTCCATATCGTGAATTCAAATATTGAAATCAATCGCGAAACATTTCACTAAAACGTACATTTTTATTTTAATAAAAAAAATCGCAAACTCTCGTTAAAGTCGAAAGTATTTGAAATTTTGCATATTAGCTGACATCGTTAATCCTGTCGTTCTCAAACGTCGGCTTTTTTTCGAAATTCACTATCTCTTGATCGGATCGAACGTGACAGACACGCGTGACGCTTTATAAGAGATCATTGATGTCAAAAAAAAAACTTTATCATCTCGATAATAAACGAAACTCTTCCCACGCGAAAAGAGTCGATGTTTTCGCGAAAAGAAAAATAGAAAGAGAGACAAAATAGCAGGTTATAATGAGTAACACGATTCTTAATACAATATTGGCTACTGATAATTGGATTAAGTGCTTTTGAGGAAATTGACTGAAACTGTATACAAGACCTTTGCGACGCTAATTAACACATATCGCTCTGAAAATTTGCGGAAATTAAAAAAATAGGTAATTAAAAAAAATTAGAGCTACAGGAGAAAAACATCATCTCGCTTTAAGCTTGGTAATCTAAAGAAGTGGGTTTAAGATTACATTGTAAAATTTTTAGAGGAAAAAGAATAGCAAAAAATCACTTTACAATTATTATACATATATATCGTGATATGTATAAATGCGCCATTATATAATCGAGAGATTTAATTATTATTTCAGCAAGTAAGTTCTAAGCACACATTGCGTAATAAAGAAAAACATCGAATTAGGGTGAAAATGAATAACAAAAATATACCTTAACGAACGCTAAGCTTAGAGACAAAATATCAACGTCGAGCGATACGTGTTAAAGGGTGTTTTAATGGGACTCCGCAGAATGGTGCTAACTGGAATAACAAGAAAATTTTCCTTGGTGAATAACTCTTATCGCGCGTAGGAGAAGCGGTGGGTACTAATCGCGTATAGTATATTTAAAGATAAGTCCTTAATATAACACACTCGTTATGCTCATAATTTTCTGCTTGCTCGACGATTTTCGGTCATCCCGGATTTAAGATTCTTCTCAGGCAGAGAATTTTAAGTAAGACTCTAGTCCTGTAAATACGTAGATAGAGACGAAGGTATCGGACAAATGGAGAAGCGTATGATGACTTTACGGATGCATGTCACGTTTATGATTGTATCAGGTGGAAAAGCGTATCGTTAACGATCGCAGATGAACGCGCTTTCTGCGAAGTTTATGGCTATACCGACAACTAAAAGGAACTAAAAGGACATTGTTAGCTCTTTGAAAGAGATATTTCGTTATGAAAAAAGGCAATATGGAATTTTTTATGCCGATATAATCATTATTTCATATAAAAAATAAAAGCAGAAAAGTCGGATCAAGAAAAGTCGGGAAAAAAATTTTTTTAATTTATTTAAAATATTCTATGCTGTGCATTTTTTTTTTTAAATTCAAAACGATTCCAAAAGTTGACAAAATGGATGTGCGCTTTTATACATGCGTTGATTTTCGAACGAATCAAAGCCACGTGGCGGCGATATAATATCGTTTCTTTGAGATAGCATGATACTGAGACCAACACCAGAGAGGGTTGAATTATAAGCGCCCTTGTTCCTTAAACGTATAGAGGCGAAGATTAATATGGTAGAATTAATGGGCGAGAAACAGCGTATATCGATCATGTCGGAACGCCGGCGGATGAACTTGTGAACTTTCGCCAGTCACGGCTTCGACTTTACGCGAAGCTTTGGAAAGTAAACGGTGCATAATCCGGCGAGCCGTCTAAACCGTGCTCTTGTATTGACGACGTGCTAATTAATTCCGCGGGTCTGGATCGAGGATCTCGAGCGACTCCCGTTGATCGAAACCCGTTGCGGACATTTTGCCGAGAACTCGAGCATGCACCTGGGTTTTCGAGGATCCGATAATATATCCGACAATATATTTATATTAATTGTAACGGTCTAGTAACGCATACTCTCGTGTATGTAGCTCACTCAATAGCATTTGTTCGTGCTGTCGTAGGGTAATGATTGGACGGAGGAGAGGAGGGTGTGCGAATGATCGCATACAGGCGACTCGATGAATCATCTGACCGCGAGTAGAATCTGCGTTTTCGCTGTTTATCTTGCGGATGGCGTAGATCACGTTTTTCTCTTAAGGACTTTCTCGTAATTTGTACTCTTTCGCGGCATATTCGGCGTTAGACGCAGGACTGTCGCATTTTTAATTCTCATTTCTTAGCTCACGAGCGATCGTATATATTGAAAATTTCAAAGCTACTTCAATTGCAATTCAATCTTGCGTTATAATAATATTCATTCTGACCATATTACGTCATCGAAGATTTTCAAAACGTGATTTATGCCACTG